GAGTTCGGCTAGCGCAGCTGGGAAAGATCCCAGCTCGTCTCTCCTGTCCACTGTCCTAACGGATACCTATAGGTGGTTACCACCTATAGTGCCGCCACTCATGGGGATGGCTGGTTATTCCATTACATCAGAAATAAACTAGAAGAAGCAGAAATGTAATTCTGCAGGAGAATTCACTGAGCGGAGCGAGTAATCAACAGGGAACTCTTAAAGAAAACGGCAACAACTAAAGAACAATTATACTCAAAATCAGAAAAAAGATCAAAATTCCTAGTAAATCTGATCAGTTCGATAAGGTCAAATTGGCAGCTGATGTCAATGACCTACAATCTGTTGTTAACTGGGGCAAGGAATGGCTTGTTAATTTTAACGCCTCCAAAACGAAACTGCAGTCTTTTAATCGTTTGATCGAACCCTTTTTGCCTTCCATCAGTATGGCTGATGTTAAGCTCAAGGATAGTGACCCATTGCGTCTTCTCGAACTAACGTTTACCTCTGACGTGAAGTCAGACGATTATATTGTATCACATAAAGGAGGGTTTGGAAAACTTAATCCTCACGGAGAATATTGCGAGCAAGAGAAATAGGGTAATGCAGCGGTCCATTTAGCTGAAAAGCTTGTGTGACTGGATGGTGGAACGGGTGTTGGGCTTCTTAGTAAAGTGAGAAAAAATGCTAAGAGCTACTTGGGATAGAAGGTTGTGGAGAGTTTTGATCGCCTATGCCCCGAAGAGACGCTGCACATAAAAGAAGTGTGAAAAATAGTGAATACGCCAAAGCTGTTCAAAATGGAATACAAAAACAGGCACGATAGCTGTTTTATCTTAAAATTAAGGACGTGCGAGATGGACTGTAATCCTATCAATTGCTGGTAATGAGGTACCAGGTAGAGATATTTTACGGGGTTGTTTCGACAGACGTACGAGCAAGGTTTTTTTTTAGGGCTAAAGAGACCAGTTGCTCTACCATTTACTCATAGTTAGTGGGAGAAATGGTTTCAAGCCTTTTTCTAAAGATATATATATATAATTCTTTTTATAGATACAAATATTTATGTAAATGCTCTGTTTATAATAAACAGTATTAAATAACATTTACCGGAATGTCCGAGAAATTTTCATAGAAAATATTCGTCCTCCGACAGGATTCGAACCTGTATCCTATACGGAACCGTCATATAGCCTGACGTGCTTTTACCGATTTCGCCACAGACGATCGATCGTTTAGTAAGGTCGAATTTACTGCTTTTAAACTTCAATCATACATGAATCTCTCACGTACATTCATGTCCGCTCATGGCGTATCAAATGTAAACAAATGACGTCACACATTATGAAATGGACAAAGTCCGACAATTATTTTAAGACATTTTTATGTTTAACATTATTTTTATAGATACAAATATTTAAGGAAATGCTCTGTTTATAATAAACAGTATTAAATAACATTTACCGGCCTGAATGTCCGAGAAATTTTCATAGAAAATATTCGTCCTCCGACACACACACACACACACACACACACACACACACACACACACACACACACATATATATATATATATATATAAAAGATATAAATGAACTATTGGAAAAAGACAATGACCTATTGGAAACTAAAAAGCATTGTGATTAGACCAATAAATTAAATGCTGTCAGAACAATTTTGAAACTGAAATTTAGAAAATAAAATGAGTGGAACATTATGTAACTTTGAGATCAGATTCTGTCACACAGTCTGACTAAGAACACCAGGCATTGTAATGGTAATGATGAGATCGGCGGTTTCCTTATTAGGAAACATTTGGTATTCATTGATCGAACAGTTAGCGCTTTGAAGAGCTTGTATGGATGGATGGTGGAACGGAGGGTGGCGTTTTTAGCAAAGGGAGAAAACTGCTAAGAGCTACTCGGGTTAAAAATTTGTGGAGAGCCATGATCTTTGTTGTCCTGAAGGGGCGTGGCACATAGAAGAAACGCGAAAAATAGTGAATGCACAAAGCTGTTCAAAATGGAATACAAAAACAGACACGATAGATTTGTTGTTTTTTTTAATTAACGCAGACTCCTTATAGAGCGCGGGGTGGACTGTGATTCTATCAAGTGCGGCACGACGATGACGATGATGATGATGATGATGAAGAAGAAGAAGAAGAAGAAGAAGAAGAAGAAGAACCTCATAGCTACAAAAGTACAATGTACATAGATACATCTCCTATGGTGCCCTTTTTACTCATAGACCCCAGAGGGGATTTGCTTCTTAGGCACTTAAAATTACTCCCTGCTAAGATTACACATAATAATAATAAAGAGATGAATCCTGAATGACAGGTTAAAAACATGGCGAAGGCAGACCAGGCGAAAATACTGAGGTACCAAAACCGGGCATTGAAAACACAGAGGTATCAAGACCTGACAAGGAAAATACTGAGGTCGCAAGAACTGGCAGAGAAAATACAGCGGTTGGGCAAATCATAGAAATGTATGAAGCATCAGTTCAAGTTGTTCCTTTTGTGATTGGCGCACTGGGGACTATTTCCAGGAATCTTTCTGCTTCGCAATTCGTTTTGGGGATGCCTACAGGTGACAGCACTGCTTGGATGCGAACATGTGCGGAGGAAAATGCCGAGAAAAGTTCTGTATCACTAAACTACAGGTAGGAGCTGCGATTTAATTATTATCACCTGGCCGAGACATATCAGTATCGGAGATGATCTCATCAAATAATAATAATAATAATAATAATAATAATAATAATAAACATGTGCCATCAACTGTAACAGAAAACGATGAAGCTATTATTTATTCTCTGGGACCTGACAATCCCAAATTCGGGCCAACGGACCTAATATAATAGCAAAGGGCAAGAAGGAAAGAACTTGTGTGCTCATCGAAATGTCTGTCCTCTCTGAAAAAGAAAAAGAAAACCTCCCTGAAAACTATGAAAATGCTCCCCAAATAAAAAGATCTAGATAAAGAAACTGAGTGAATGTGCGGCCTGAAGACCACAACAATACAAATGGTCATAAGTGCTCTCTATTTGGTCCTGAAAGGGATGGAAAATACAGCAATAAATTCTCTGTTAGCATCAAGATACAAGAAGTTCATAAGATCATCGTTTTCTGCATTACTCACATATTAAAGAGGACTCTAACAATCATTACAACCTTATGATCGCATCAAGTCCAAACCAGAGATTCAGCTTCCTGAATGAACAAAGCATGATATTAAGAAAAAAACAAAATTCAATAATGGTAATCAGCCGTTTATCTATAAGGAAACATTTGGTATTTACTGACTGAACAACTAATACTATTGTCAGTTGAAATTTATAAAATCTTTCTCTTAAAACGATTTTTGAGGAAAATAGGTGTCTCAAGTTCAGTATTTGCTCTCGCTTTTTCCAGTATTGATGTAGAGGTTTCCTTCCTAATCTTTTGTTTGAAGTAGTGTGGAATGTCAACATATTGATTATGTTATTATTTTCTCTTAGTGATAGCTGTGTTATCGATTTTAGTTGTTGCTGTTGTTGAATGTCCTTAAGTGACGCGGTCCTTCGTTTGTTTGATTCTGTAGTGCCAGTCCACAACGTTCGAAGAAGGATGATCCTCACGAAGACCTACAGGCTTCATTCACTCAAAGCCGTTTTTGATTTTAGAAAGAGTTGTATACAGTTATCAGTTGAGATATTTCTGAACGGGTTTGGCACCACGGATCACATCCATATGAAAGTTCGGATCTTACGAGGCTATTTAAGAACATGGCTCGGGTTTTCAGGTTAATGTTTTGATTTTGTAGCAATTTGCAGTGTTGAGCGATTTTTTTGGACATGCTGACGTGATACCTTCCGAAAGATTTCTGTTATCTCTTGCCTTCTTACTGTTGTAGCGTAGCTATGGACGATAATGGGAGTGCAGCTATTCCCATAAATACAGTAGTGAATACTGTATGTGTTGGTCCTCAATTGGAGATTCATTGTGGAATTCACTTGACTCATTTCTAGCAGTTGGCTACTTCTACGTGCCACTGGCGAATCTTATATGTGTTGTTCTTGTCCTGAGTATTATCGTTCATTACCAACCTTTGTGTGATTATTCTATTCAGTAACCTTCCCTAGGTTATAATACTTACTCTGGTAGACAATTCGTAGGATGAGGAAGGGAGTAAAAAGCATTGAGATTTCTGAAGCGGCTTCTCGTATTTTAGCACAAGTGAACTTGTGCCCCGCTTTCTCATAGTTTTCAGTCTTCGGTTACCTTCAAATGTGCTAGGGACCCTGAGGTAGGGTCATAGGGTCACTGTTGAGAATTGCTGGCAGTGATAGGTTTGCTTCAATGGTGAGCTGGTCATATCTTTTACCATAAAGTAATCCTGGAGGAGAAAATAAAAATATGCCATAAACTAACGCATTCAATGCTTGGGGAATAATTTATTTTTCTTTCACGCGCAATGTCCGATCTGCTCATTGTAAGTCACTGGTATTAAAGACGAAAAAAGAAGAAGAAAATTCTCCAAATCTTCCGATTCTTTCCATTTCTGTTACTGGCGGCAAACCGACGTCCTCTACTCTTGACCCATGACCTAAGATCTATGAACAACGTCAGGTGAAGTGGCTCTGTTTAAAACTAGTTTTCCCGCTGCACCAAATTCTTGGCCCAGTGCTCCTTGCTTCGTAAATGTTTGTGCCAATTGTTGTTATTATTATTATTATTATTATTATTAGTAGTAGTAGTATTGTTATTATTATTTCTATCAATATCGATTTTCGTTGGCGACTTAATAACTTTGTTCAGCGCCAAGGAATAATGAAACAATTCAAGATGAAGTACTTCTTATCTTCTTTGGCATTGTCACCATTGCAACCATCACCATCATTATGCCGCCATCACCACCATGATCATTAACACGTACACCTTCTTCTTCTTCTTCTTCTTCTTCTTCTTCTTTTTCTTGTCATTGCACCTCCCTCTTATTTACCTGCTTTTTTAATCACCGTCTTAGTCCTTACCATTTCTTCTTCTTCTTCTTCTTCTTCTTCTTCTTCTTCTTCTTGTCATTGCACCTCCCTTTTATTTACCTGCTTTTTTAATCACCGTCTTAGTTCTTACCATTTCTTCTTCTTCTTCTTCTTCTTCTTCTTCTTCTTGTCATTGCACCTCCCTTTTATTTACCTGCTTTTTTAATCACCGTCTTAGTCCTTACCATTTCTTCTTCTTCTTCTTCTTCTTCTTCTTCTTCTTGTCATTGCACCTCTCTTTTATTTACCTGCTTTTTTAATCACCGTCTTAGTTCTTACCATTTCTTCTTCTTCTTCTTCTTCTTCTTCTTCTTCTTCTTGTCATTGCACCTCCCTTTTATTTACCTGCTTTTTTAATCACCGTCTTAGTTCTTACCATTTCTTCTTCTTCTTCTTCTTCTTGTCATTGCACCTCCCTCTTATTTACCTGCTTTTTTAATCACCGTCTTAGTCCTTACCATTTCTTCTTCTTCTTCTTCTTCTTCTTCTTCTTGTCATTGCACCTCTCTTTTTTTCTTACCTGCTTTTTTTAATCACCGTCTTAGTTCTTACCATTTCTTCTTTCTTCTTCTTCTTCTTGTCATTGCACCTCCCTCTTATTTACCTGCTTTTTTAATCACCGTCTTAGTCCTTACCATTTCTTCTTCTTCTTCTTCTTCTTCTTCTTGTCATTGCACCTCCCTTTTATTTACCTGCTTTTTTAATCACCGTCTTAGTTCTTACCATTTCTTCTTCTTCTTCTTCTTCTTCTTCTTCTTCTTCTTCTTGTCATTGCACCTCCTTTTTTATTTACCTGCTTTTTAATCACCGTCTTAGTTCTTACCATTTCTTCTTCTTCTTCTTCTTCTTGTCATTGCACCTCCTCTTATTTACCTGCTTTTTTTTAATCACCGTCTTAGTCCTTACCATTTCTTCTTCTTCTTCTTCTTCTTCTTCTTCTTCTTCTTCTTGTCATTGCACCTCCTTTTATTTACCTGCTTTTTTAATCACCGTCTTAGTTCTTACCATTTCTTCTTCTTCTTCTTCTTCTTCTTGTCATTGCACCTCCCTTTTTATTTACCTGCTTTTTTTAATCACCGTCTTAGTCCTTACCATTTCTTCTTCTTCTTCTTCTTCTTCTTCTTCTTCTTCTTCTTGTCATTGCACCTCCCTTTTATTTACCTGCTTTTTTAATCACCGTCTTAGTTCTTACCATTTCTTCTTCTTCTTCTTCTTCTTGTCATTGCACCTCCCTCTTATTTACCTGCTTTTTTAATCACCGTCTTAGTCCTTACCATTTCTTCTTCTTCTTCTTCTTCTTCTTCTTCTTCTTCTTCTTCTTCTTCTTTTCTTGTCATTGCACCTCCTTTTTATTTACCTGCTTTTTTTAATCACCGTCTTAGTTCTTACCATTTTCTTCTTCTTCTTCTTCTTCTTCTTCTTCTTCTTCTTGTCATTGCACCTCCCTTTTGTTTACCTGCTTTTTTAATCACCGTCTTAGTTCTTACCATTTCTTCTTCTTCTTCTTGTCATTGCACCTCCTCTTATTTACCTGCTTTTTAATCACCGTCTTAGTCCTTACCATTTCTTCTTCTTCTTCTTCTTCTTCTTCTTCTTCTTCTTCTTCTTCTTGTCATTGCACCTCCTTTTTTATTTACCTGCTTTTTTAATCACCGTCTTAGTTCTTACCATTTCTTCTTCTTCTTCTTCTTCTTCTTCTTCTTCTTCTTCTTCTTCTTGTCATTGCACCTCCCTTTTATTTACCTGCTTTTTTAATCACCGTCTTAGTTCTTACCATTTCTTCTTCTTCTTCTTCTTCTTCTTGTCATTGCACCTCCTCTTATTTACCTGCTTTTTAATCACCGTCTTAGTCCTTACCATTTCTTCTTCTTCTTCTTCTTCTTCTTCTTCTTGTCATTGCACCTCCCTTTTATTTTACCTGCTTTTTAATCACCGTCTTAGTTCTTACCATTTCTTCTTCTTCTTCTTCTTGTCATTGCACCTCCTCTTATTTACCTGCTTTTTAATCACCGTCTTAGTCCTTACCATTTCTTCTTCTTCTTCTTCTTCTTCTTCTTCTTGTCATTGCACCTCCCTTTTATTTACCTGCTTTTTTAATCACCGTCTTAGTTCTTACCATTTCTTCTTCTTCTTCTTCTTCTTGTCATTGCACCTCCCTCTTATCTACCTGCTTTTTTAATCATCGTCTTAGTCCTTACCATTTCTTCTTCTTCTTCTTCTTCTTCTTCTTCTTCTTCTTCTTGTCATTGCACCTCCCTTTTATTTACCTGCTTTTTTAATCACCGTCTTAGTTCTTACCATTTTCTTCTTCTTCTTCTTCTTCTTCTTCTTCTTCTTCTTCTTCTTCTTCTTCTTCTTATTTTTGCACCTCCCTTTTTTTATTTTACCTTTTTTTAATCACCGTCTTAGTTCTTCCATTTCTTCTTCTTCTTCTTCTTGTCATTGCACCTCCCCTCTTATTTACCTGCTTTTTTTAATCACCGTCTTAGTCCTTACCATTTCTTCTTCTTCTTCTTCTTCTTCTTCTTCTTCTTCTTGTCATTGCACCTCCCTTTTATTTACCTGCTTTTTTAATCACCGTCTTAGTTCTTACCATTTCTTCTTCTTCTTCTTGTCATTGCACCTCCCTCTTATTTACCTGCTTTGTTAATCATCGTCTTAGTCCTTACCATTTCTTCTTCTTCTTCTTCTCTGTAGTATCTCTCTTCAGGATGTTGGCGATCATGTCCCTTCACAATTACCTTTTTTTGTAGCTCTTAATAAATTTTGTCTTTTTGATATCTCTCCTAATTCCTGTTCAGTCGACCATTTACATATACTCGTTAGATAGATTTTTATCGCTGTTTTTCTCTCTCCATCCTATATTCAATATGCTCTGTGAGTGTAGTATTTTCTAAGTCCTATTTTATGTACCTTAGAAATCTCAACTGTCTCTTTTTGATACTACGTATAAGTGTCCATTTTGTTTCCATTTTCTCCGCATCTTTACTACAATAAAATCTACCACCACCACCACAAACACCACTAAAAGTAGACGACGCATTAGCAATCTCTGTACCAAATTATATATGTTGCTATCGAGGATTTTGAAAGTATGGAAATGTACTAATCGGAGAGAGAACAATCAGCAGAAACGAACTGTACATTCAAATTCGATCCAACAATGTTTACGTAGCAATATGAAATTCAAACTTTATGCATTTTTATTTTATTTCATGTCTAGAATCTTCATGACCATTTTGACTGGCTCACGTGCCCTGTATTGGGTTAAATTTAGTATAAATGTTATAAATTTAATATAATTTATTAATATAATAAATTTAGTGTGAAAACATTATTGTCGTTAAAATTTCAACTTCTTTTTAAAATACTTGTCTGAAATTTTCAAGCATTATCAAAATTATTCTACACATAGGACATAGATAAAAAATGTTTTAAGGGAAACATTTTGATTCAACTTACGCGTAGCGTCTAGGAATTTGAATGAAACCTGTCGTGTAATTTATTGGGGCTGTTGTAACGCGTCTTCCTTAATGTAGTCCTTATCGCTCACCCCTTAACCACATTTATCTAGAGACGAGACGCGTTAGATTTGAGCAACATCCAGCCGACACACTGGGGTTAAAATAGGAAACTAAAATGATACATATGATACACTCACATCCTCTCTCCCACCTCACTTCCTCACTTCGTTAACTTTGCGTATACTTGATGAGGTCCGTAAAAAACATGTGAATTTCTTTTCATTTTTCATTTCAGCTTTTGGAAGTAAAGTCCGATGATCCAGAACCCTGTTAAAGAGGTTATGGTGAAATAGCTTATTACATGGAATCTTAACGTGGTCTGTCTTTTATTCAAATATATATATATATATATATATATATATATATATATATATATATATATATATGTGTGTGTGTGTGTGTGTGTGTGTGTATATATATATATATATATCCGTTCAAGTCTCTTGGTCGTGAAACTCGAGTTACGACTAGAGTTATGCTTTCATAGGATTTAACGTTGTTAAGCGTTTTTTTTTGATTGGTCTAAGCAATCTAGGCTTCAAGCACTTTACTGAGAAGATAAGTTTGTCTTAGGATTTTTTTTCTTTCTTTTTTCAATATTGTCGTTTTATTCGGTACAGTATCTGGATAAGAGTTGTGTTTTTTTGGCAAGTTGTCCGTTGGTTCCACCAATAGTTTTTGTTTGACTTATATATATATATATATATATATATATATATATATATATATATATATATATATATTCCTGGTACCCCTTGACAAGTGGACGGAGTGATTGCTAGAGGTTCTCTCTACGAAACTCTGGAGTCGAGATGCTGAAAGCAACACCAGTGACAAACTTTAGATTTGTATTAATTATATGTGTGTTTGTTATCTTTCCTAAGGAATTTGCTTTTATTTAATCGAGTTCACCCCAAGTAAGGCAGTAAAGCCACTAAGACACAAAGAGTTACTGGGCGTGGGAGAATTAGAAACAGAAACATTACTCATGTGCGAGATCAAAAAGAGTTATCAGGAGGACAGTAGCCATTTACATTGCATTGAAATCTTTGAATATTAAAGTTGGATTGAAAACATGGAGCCGGAATGGATTTCCACAAGAAAGAAGTTTAAGACCAATTGGTAGAAGACAGAATGTATGGCTGTCAGCAAGAGAAACATCTGAAGATGGAAACTACGGATCGGAGATGTCAAAATGAAACAAGTACAGTTTAGGAAGCTGTGGAGAGCCATGATAGCCTCCGTCTCGAAGCTTGCGGCACACAGAAAAAGATGAATGGTGTTACATAATGAAAAAACGCTTATTTTTGATCTTAAAAGAAACATGCCCTCGATTCTTAAAGAAATTTGGAAGTTTATTGAAAAGCGCTTTTGTGGTTTCTCCGATTTTCACAAACAAATATTTGTCTGTGGACTTTGAGGGTTGACTCACCGGACAAATAGGTAAACGAATAAATAAATAAATAAATAACGTGTGTTGTGTTTGCTGCTACGTTCAGATAGGAAAAAAACTGTATTTTTTCCGACAAAATGAAAAGGCGAGGCAATTCCCCTGATCTCAGTCTCGCTGAGTATAATGGAGCCATTAAAAAAAACTCATTGGAAATTTAAGGAAGGATGGATTGAAGAATTTGAAAATGGCATACCGAAAGCAAAATGGATAGGTGTGTGGGGGAGCAACGAGTCAACTACCTGACGAGCTTGCGTGAATATATGTCAGAAGAGAGCGGGAGATTTGGCAAAGGGACAAATTTTGCAAAGAATAGGTAGTTGTGGAGAACCATGATTGCTTACGTTAGAAGAGGAGAAGAATTGTTCACTTGAAGTAGCTCAATCAGTATCAGCATTTTTTACAACGCTTGGCGTGGGTGATTGTCAAAGTTTCGAAAAAATTAAAAGGCTGTAGAGCAATGATTCCCAACGGTAGGTCATGGTAATATTTTAGTTGGGCATGCGTAGAATGTGCATCCTTCGGCTTACTATAACAAGGTGAGCTTAAATTTCATTTTGACATATTATTTCATGATTAAAATGATCAAAGTATATTACAGAATAAGCTTTCATCCAAATATTTTATATTCCTGCCTTTCATTTCGCTATTATATGATTTGAAACTATGTATATTTAACTATCTTTTTGATTTTCTCTTTCATTACGCCATGGTCTTTGGAGGCTTGTTTAGAGACCAAGTTAATAGCCCTTTAAGCTTCCTTCAGGTGAATTGCTGTAAAATTTAGAATATGTAAGAATTAAATATTACAGGCGGGTACCAGAATTTTAGAAATACCAAAGTGGGACATGACCCTGAATCAGTTGGAAAACCACTGTTGTAGAGTAATTGGCCATAGCTAATTGTATTTTACAGAAAATGGTCAACAAAGAGAAATGACAGTTTGCTATAAACAATAACAAAAGAAAGGAAAGAACAGGGCAAAATAATACTAAGCAAACAATAATTAGGCAAAAAGTTTCATAAACTAAGTATGGCGTGAACACACAAAAGGAATAAAAACATGTAATAGCAGCTTTCGGACTTCAAGACAAGAAAGAACAAAAATATGGCGGATGAGACGAAGAAGTAGTCTACGTTGTTGCCTAGGAAGGAATCCTAGCACACTTTCACTTCAGTTTGCCTATAAATTTGTGGACGGGTATGTTTTTGCAATCATTCCTATAAGAATTGGGATCAATAAAGGCGAATAACAGTTGTTTAAAAAACTTCGAAAGTTTAAAGCAAGGTTGATTTCCCTGAAACCTAATGGAAAATCGTTTAAAATATTGACAGCATATAGATTTGGTGTAGTTTAAAAAAACTCAGTTACATTATGAGTCGCCCTTTCATCTTTTTAGTGTAGCGATCCATTAACAAATATTTTTTTCAGAATAAGTTCAATAAATATCTGCAGCTGCCATTAAAGATTCCTTTGATTTAGGTCTTGTAAAATATATTATTTAAAGTTTTGTTGGAAACAGTTTAATTAAGCGTACAAATAAAATATATTTTATCATCAGCTAAATTGTTCATATTTAAAGCAAAATTATTAGAGTAAAGTAACATTGAATTTCAATTTTGGGGGCAATTAGATAAACACCACTTAATGACGACATTTTCTTGTCATCTGTTTGAAGTATGAGTCGCTTTTATTATGAAACAGTTTCTGGTGGATTTTATGAGAGTTTGTGGTAGAAAATCGCAAAAACATTATTGATAGAACGTGGATTTGGATTTTCAGCAAAGCAGGTTTTATTATGAGACTCGGTTAGATTTTGTGATGGTTTCAGATGGAAAATACAAAAGCAAAAAAACAAAAAACAAAACAAAAAACAGCAACAAAAAACAAGACAAGCAAAACTATGAGAGAATTTAGTTATTTCTTATCAAATATAAAAGTTCTCAACTTGGTATCTACGCAGATGACACAACTATTTATTCCTATATTAATAGTAAGTCTAATTGGTTGGATAAAGTCAAACTGAAAGCTGATCTAAAAATAACATACAATCTGTTGTTAACTGGGGCAAGAAGTAACTTGTTAACAGGGGCGATAAATGTCTGGTTAATTTTAACATCTCAAAAACGAAACTACTCTCTTTTAATCGTCTGCGAGAACCTTTTTTTTGCTGATGCTAACCTCCAGGAGAGTGAGTCACTGTGCCTTTTCTGACGAACATTTTCTGCTGACATGAAGTGGAAAAATTATACTGAATCAATTGCTGGGTGTGCTGCTAGGAAAGTTGCTTCACTGTATCCAGCTAGACAATTTTTCGAGCCAGAATCTATCTTACATATTTATTCGTCTATGCTTTCAATATTTCTGCCACATTTGGCCTGGTGCGTCTGCTATATATTTAGAGATTCTTGATAAAATCCATAGAAAAATGTTATTGGGCCTTACCTGGTATCTCGGCTTCAGTCATCTTCCCACCAACTTAAATACTTTATGAATTTAAGTGTAATACTCGACTGTAGAAAGGTCTAATCATATTAGAATTGAAATAGCTAGATGCAACCGTAAGTTCTATGCTAACAGTTTCTTCTATCGCGCTTCTCGTTTGTGGAACTCTCTTCCTTCTTGCTTACCTGTCAAGTTTAATCTTCAAAAATTTAAATGCAATGTCAACAGCT